ATTCCTGCCAAGGCGTTAGTTATACTCGCAGAAGATAATACAGCAAAGCCTGCACCTTGCCCTTTAATCACCATTGACAGGACAGATAATTGTATATCTTCTGCTTCTAAAATCAACAAGACTGGTATGGCTAAGTTTGCTGCTGTTCCTTCTGAGTGTAAAGATTGCACCTCTCCTATTTCTGTCTCAGAACAAAAAAATCTGGAGGTTTCTCATTCTGCCTTGAGATATGGAGGAAGACCTTCGACCAACCGTTCTGGTTTCATCTGTGGAAAAAAAGTTGATAGAGACATTTCTGAATTTCCACCTGTTTCTGAAGATAGGCATATTAATTTTTCTTCCAAGCAAAACAACAATAAGCCTAGGATATCGCCCACAGTACTTGATCCTTCAGCTGACAACCGAGGAAAAATGCTTTCTCCTGCCCCTAACTCTGAAAATGGCCAGATTGCTAGATGGTCTGCTGCTTCTGAGCAGGACAGCTTTATTGTTCCAGCTGTTGAGTCTACAAGAATCCCTGTGGAGGGAATGACCAAGGTGCCACTTTGGTCAGGGGACCCGAGAGCTTTGTGCCCAGCTGGTTCTCTGGAACCTGAGCTTACTCCAGCTATGCTTGATCGTTCTGCTGCTGGAGCAGTTGTGGGGGATGTTTGCATCCCCAGACCCTCCTCACCTGTTCTGGGATCCAGAGAAGCCTCCAACCTTTCTGGTTCTGCCTTGGAAAGATTGCAAGTTGCTCAGGGCAACAGTAATTCCTCCAGTGACAGAGCTGGCGTGGCAGAGGCAGTGCCGTCACCCATCTGTCCGTGGAAATCTTTGGAAACGACATCTGAATTGGCCTGTACTGAGACCGTGTGCAGAAATCCTGTGGGACAGGTGAATTGTGGTAACCACGCTTCTTCTATGTCAAATGATCCAACAGCTGCTGCACCTGCAGAGCCAAATGAGTCCTGTCCTGAGAAAGTGCGGGAAGATATTGATGTGAAGGGACAAGACCATGCTAAATTCCAAGATGCTGCTGTTTTGTTTAAAAAGGCTGAGGAAATAGTGGACTCAGTTTTACACTTGGCTATAGAAGAAATAATAGCAAAACAAGCCATCTGTGTCTGCCAGCTTTGTGGGAGCAAGGATGGTTTAATAAATACAGATATTCTAATTGATCAGAAAGCTGGAACTGTACAGCCAGAAGCAAAAGAAATGCAGTCAGCTGTGCAGTCATTAAAACATTTTAATGAGAGCAGTGGAGGAGGCTCAGCTTCATTTACAGGAAATGAAACAGTGGGTACAATTAATCAAGATGAAAAGATACTATCTTGCATGCCTGATAAAATTGACCTACATAGTGCACTAGCACTAAAAGCAAAAGAAATTATTGATGAAGTCATTAACTCAGCCAAACAAAAACTGGCATCCAATCAGTGGCAAGGCAGTGAGAGTAAAAGGGCTTCTGAAAAGATTGAGCCTAAGGCTGAAAACCCAAATATTGTAAAACTGGATATGAAGTTACCTGCTGAAATACAGGAACCAACAGAGAGGGCAGAAACTCAGAGTGTAGCTGTCAACGGTGAAAAGGCAGATTGCTCAGGTCCTCCTTTACTTCCAAATGGTATGGAAAATGGCATAGATTGCCCCCAGAGAGGTGAAATACCAAATAATGCATTTACATGTCAAAAAAGCGTTTTTCTACCCACTGGTAGTTCAGCAAGGCCAGAATCGGATCTTACGACACCAGCCAGAGAGACACGTGCTAGAAAGGTGTGCGAACATCTGCCTGCAGCAGAGTTGTGTGGCAGAGCTGGAGTATCAGCAACTGGTAGAAAATCTGATGGATCTTTAGGTTTAATACACAGAGATGCTACTGTGACTGAAGAGATGCTTCTGTCATTGCAGTTGAAAGATTCATGCCATGATACAAAAATGCCAGAGCACACATTGCTGCCAGCTGTAAATGTTAATTTGTCATCTTTTATGCCTGATGAAGAATGTACCAGCATGCAGAGTGAATCCAAAGACAAAAGCAGTCATGGGGGTTCTCTGGAAAGCAGAGCAGAGGACAGTCCATATGAACACTGTGGAAGAGAGTCTGCAGAAGCGCCTGCACAAGTACCAGCCCCCTTGGAAAATCCAGAGGCAGCGCAGAGTGAAGAGGAGCTAGCAGAAGGGGCAAGTGAGGTAGAAGAGGTTAATACTGGATTAAATATGCAGTTTGCTGTACCTGAATTGTCTGTTATTGGAGAGGATAACGAAGAGAAAAACTTCTTCAATGCAATCTTTGCCCAAAGTAATGAGAATCTGAAGCAGGTACAAATGAAGTATCAAGACATGAAGAGAAACGATCAGCTTGAAGAAAACGGTCTGGACTGTAGTGATGATATGAAGGCATCAGCAGATCCTTTGGCCTTTTCTCCACTAATTGAACAGTGGGAAAACAGTTCTTTTACTATAATTTATGAAGGTGCCCTTCAGACTGAGAACAAATCTGTCTCAACTGATGATATCCAGACTGGTTCACTTTCTTCTTCTGTTCTGCCCTCAGATAACAGAGATCATCTAACGTGTGAGAGAACAAAGAATAGACGTGAGCAAGCCTGTCTTTATGGGAAGGATAGCAGGTTGAGTGAAACAACGGATAGCCATGGTTCAGAGTCATTTCTGAGCGTGGAGGCCAAGCGCTACAGAGTATATCCTTTCTCTTTGTCTCCAATATATGAAGATGACAGCTCCCAAGAAGACTTGCTTTCCACAGACATCTCGCCAGAAGGCTGGCCTAGTGGGTCATCTAAAGATAACACTGACCACACCTCTGTGCTGTCCCTTCTCCAGTCGGTGTCTGAGCGCTTACAGTTTACTACTCGGTTCAGTGAAGGGGATGAGGAGGAAGGAGTGGGGGACGAGGAGGAGGAAGAATCATCATATGAAGAGAATACGCTTGGCATTGAGAGAGAAGACGAATGTCTTTCCAGTCAGTGGACAGGGAATTTAAAAACCACCCCTCAATCAAACGATCAAAGTCGATCTTTGTTTCCTGAACAATCACCTTTTTTAAAAGAACAACTTGTCTCTAAGGAGCAACCAGAGCTGTTCCCAGATGCAGCTTCTCCCAGTCAAACGCCATGCAAGCCAGTCTCACAGAAAGCTGATGCTGCTCTAAAGTGTCCTCCTACAAGTGTCTACTACCAGTATTTGAAATCTGCCAGCAAGTGCTCCTCTGAGAAAGGGACCAGGTTTGGAAGCATTCTCCAGGACATGTTGCAACCAAAGAGTCACTGGTTTCAAGACAACACCATGCCAAAACTGGGGGAATTGTCAGCAGTAAGTTGTCATGTCATGTAATATTAATAATCAAAGTGATTGGCCCAGATTCAAAACTGCTGTCTCTCTATTCTCCTTCCTCCCTTCCTAAGGTTAATTCTTTTATCATAAATTAAAGTAATGAGGCTGTTTAAGATCATAGTTAAATAGAAAAAAAGTCTTCTAAAAAAAAAAAGACCCTATTTTTAAAACACAGTCTTCTTGGTTCAGCACATAGATGGAAGTGACTTAGGTGTAAAACAGAAGATGTGAACAGAAAATACAATAGGAAAATGTGCATAATAGCAAGTCTGTATAATAGCAAAACAGACTTAACCATCTTACGGACATTTCAACCTGAGAGGATGAAATCGCCTTTTGTATGAAAATTGTTCTTTCATTTCTTGAACTTCTGAGATTACTAGAGCTGTATTGTCCAAAAAAAATTAAGTATCTGCTTACTGGGCTATTTGATTGTTTCATCACAGTCTTTTCTACAAATTGTATGTCAGGTAGCAAATAAGTAGTATAACTGCTTTGGTAGATTACATTTCTTTTTTTAGTTTATTTAAAGCAATGGCAGATGTGGGTATGGAAACAGTTATTCCAAGATTTAGAAGTTGAAAATGCTGCATAGGCCAAATGAGTAGCTGAAGAAGAAAGTCTTTCTATGATGTTGGAAATAAGTCTGTGTTAGAGGTCTGTTTGGTTCTGCCGCTGTTAAGACATGCAGTTTATTGTTGGCTGGGAAAGGGTAATACATATCCAGAAGTTAAATTCCATAATAGTCATTCCTTTCCCAGCACTTGATGTTTTCTGTGGATTGTTTGATTCTGTCAGAGTATTTACACCAACTCTGAATGACAGTGAAACAAATCTTGGTTGTTTTCTGCTAGTGACAGTTGCATACGTTTGTAGGAATAGTGGACCCAGAATAATCTGTCTGTCCTTTGTGCTACTGTTGTAGATGTTAACAGTTGTTTTTCATGTCCTTTTAATTTCAGAACCTTATTGACAGGGCAAGTCTCAAATACAATCCAAGACCGGGAAAGGTAAGCAAATTTGTGTCACATAGTTGAATTTGATATATGGAATAACTTTTTATACCAAAATTTTTGAGTGGAAGTCATCTGAAATTGTTAGTCTGGTTTTTGGTCTTTTAATGTTGCATATGTTGCACATGCTGATAATGAGATGTTATTAAAAATCCTGCCACTAGTAATTTTACTGTATTTCTGTAAGTAACTGCTGGTTTAGCTCAGTAGTGGTTTCACAAAAGAAGAAAATGTGTAGCAGATCAGTTGAGTGGGCAGCAAGTGAAAGAGGTTTTATTCCAAGCAAAAATTAACAGTCTACACTGTATTGGTGAAATGGGCCCTCATTCATACGCATTGTATGTTGTTTCAGATTATTATTTGTGATGTTTATGGTGACAGAAGTAAACAAGAAGTTCATTCTGATGTGCTAGATACCACGTCCTGGATCTTTCCCGTCGGAGCATTACTTAGGATAATTAGAGGATGGTAAGAAATCCAGGTCATATTTAAATAGAGACTTTCCAAAAGACTACATGTGGTTCTCTTGTATTTTCATTTCTTTTATTTATGACACACGTCTGATCTGCAAAAGTATCTTTGTCTTTCTTTGTAATTAGACTGATACCAGTGAAAAAAAGCATGAAACAAGGCTTCAGATGCTTCAGTACAAAATAAAAATGTATTGTTTCTCCTGGGAAGTAGCTTCAAACAGAGAGTTTCTAATAGAACTGCAAGTAAGTTTAGACTGCTTGCCTGACGTGCTGAGACAGTACAGCTATAATCCTCACTAGAAGCTTGTGTATGCCAAAGGAAGTGTCTTTTTTTACGGTTCAGTGTCATTATACAGTAGCTGTTGCAAAAGAACCACAGAATGAACAATCTCAGCTGCTGTTTGTAATGTAGCATTCAGAGTAATATGGATGCAGAAGGATATACAAGTACCTTTAAGGTAGATTTTGCCAGCGTTTCTTGGTTTGCATCGGGAAGCTGGGGCTGGGACTGTGTCAGTTGTTGCATTGGAATTTAATTGGTGGTGCCTACAGTGAGTGTTTCTGACTGTCAGCCACAGTAAAAATGCATGTCACACTTAGCCAGTTTTGAGGCAGGCTTGTTTGGTTTTGCATACATTTTTTTCATGTCCTGAGAAATACCGAATGCCATTGCTAGTATGTGCATTTTTATATTTGCGTAGTATCTGCCTGAACAGGGCATGTTTTGATGTGTCAATTAATACAATTGTTCTGGTAAAATAAGGCTTTTTGTTTACACTGTGTTTTAGCCGTGTTTTTCTACAGTTACTATTTTCAGTTATGTTAGGCTACATCCTGGAGGAGAACTGTGTATTTTACTTCAAAAGCACAGAAGTACAAGGGCCCTGTATTTATCTAAAGTGAATGTGACTACTGAGGGACAGCATAAGAAAGATCTGATAGTTAGACTAATAAGAACCAGCTCATTACTAACTTTTCCAGAAAATGTGCTGTCTTACCTAACAGCCACAACTCAGTTCGTGATATCATTATTACAGTTGGATTTTTTATGAGAAACCAAAGTTCCAGGGTCGGAAATATGTACTAGAAGAAGGAGAGACTGTGCTGGATCATCTTTGGGATCTTCCAGGCGTGAAACATCGTCGGAGAAACCTCACAGTTGGTTCAATCAAACATGTAACAAAGGTATAGACTTCGTTAATACATACATAATCGATTTATGTTGGCAGTAGTGGTGTATTACTAGTAATGAACAATGTGTATAAGCTGTGTTTGCTATGAATCACATTTTTTCACCTCCAAGATAAATACCAGGGGTTCTGCTGCTCTAAATTTCCCTTGCTTCCTGAAGGTAATGAGCAGGTAGATTATCTTTCTTTGCCACCACCTTTATCTGACACAATGTCTCCCCTCCTTTTAGATATACACCTGTCCGGTTCATTGAAATTAAATGGAATCAATTCCTATTTTTCAAAAGAGTGTTTGTCTTAAGCTTAAACTGTCTGCTGTGTCTGTATGGCTTCTGTTTCAGAAGTTGTTAGTTGGGTTTCCAGTCCCATTCGTACAGCATAGCCTCCAAAAATTACTGTCGCTCCCTCTACAGATTTGTGCCATCCAGAGAGGTTCCACGTGGACAAGTGGTACACCTACAGCATCTGGCTCTGCATACAGACAGAAGTTTTTAAAAGGCTTTTGTTGAAAAGATAGGAATCAAATGCCTAAAACTAAATACAATGCATCCATTGTTATTCAGTGAATGCAGAATATATTTACCAGATCTTGTGATTTAATACTTCGTGCTCTTGTTGTTTAGAATAACATTCCAGTTATTCATAGGGCAATGGCCCTTTATTGGGAGTAAGTTATCATTAGTGTCCCAATGTGAAAGTTTTTCTGAAAGTGGTTTTTCTTTGTTCTCTGCTGGTATAGAAGTCTAAAACTGATAACCTTCTTGTCATCAGTACAGGGGCATAATGGTATTACTGTTTGTGGTGGGTTAACCTTGGCTGGAGGCCAGGTGCCCAGCAAGCTGCTCTATCACTCCCCTCCTCAGCTGGACAGAGGAGAGAAAATACAATAACAAGCTCGGGGGTTGAGATAAGGGCAGGGAGGGATCATTCAGCAATTATTGTCGTGGGCCAAACAGTCTCAGCTTGGGGAAAAAATTAATTCTATCATCAATCAAAATCAGACTAAAACCAAATCTTAAAACACGTTCCCCCACCCCTCCCTTCTTCTCAGGCTCAACTTCACTCACGATTTTCTCTAGCTCCTCCCCTCAAGCACAGCAGAGGGACAGGGAATGAGGGTCGTGGTCAGTCCATCACACACTGTCTCTGCCGCTCCTTCCTGCTCAGGGGAGGATCCTCACACTCTGCCCCTCCTCCAGCCTGGGCTCCCTCCAATGGGTGACAGTCCTCCACCAACTTCTCCAATGTGGGTCCTTCCCACAGGCTGCAGTTCTTCACAAACTGCTCCAGCCTGCGCTTCCCACAGGGTCACAAGTCCCACCAGCAAACCTGCTCCAGCTTGGGCTCCTCATTCCGTGGGGCCACAGGTCCTGCCAGGACCCTGCTCCAGCACGGGCTTCCCACGGGGTCACAGCCTCCTTTGGGCATCCCCCTGCTCAGGGATGGGGTCCTCCCCGGGATGCAGGCTGTCTGTGCTCCCCTGTGACCCTCCATGGCTGCAGGGGCACAGCCAGCCTCACCATCGGCTGCCGGGGAATCTCAGCTCCAGCTCCTGGAGCACTTCCTCCCCCTCCTTCTCCACTGACCTTGCGTGTCTGCAGAGTTGTTCCTCTCGCATCTCTCTCTCTTCTTTCCCTCAGTTAAAATCTCTTCTTCTGGGTTTTGGGGTTTTTTTTGCCTTCTTAAACATGTTGTCACAGAGGTGTTGTATGAGTGAGGGCTGCTGATGGGCTTGGGCCCGGCCTTGGCCAGCGCTGGGTCCATCTTGGAGCCAGCTGGCGTTGGCCCTACCAGATGTAGGGGAAGCTTCTAGCAACTTTTCACAGAATCCAACCCTGTAGTCCACCCACCATCAAATCCTTGCCACGCAAACCCAGTCCACAATTAGAAATGCTTTTTCATTCTCTTAAAGACTTCACAATAAATGCATTCAAAAGAGGCAGGGTAAGGGTGTGAACAAGGAAGTTAACACTTATTTGAGCTAAACAAATTAAAAGTGTTTGACCAATATGGAATATGGGCATTGATCAGTAATGTGGAAGGCAGCTCAGTAATTAAAGAAATACCACAATAACATGTGGAAGTATGGTCTGAAGCCATGGGAAACTGGGTGTGTCTTGGGTATCAAAGAAAACCCTTAGATAGGAAAGACACTGTGGTTGGCTTCATCATGTTTGATAAAAGTCTTTGTAAGTAGGTTTGAGTGGTGGTGTCCTTCCAGTATGCGGTTCATTTGTAGGGAACACGGATGGAAAGCTTTGTTACAGTACACTAGCTCAGTAACCAATTCTGTTTCTCGTGTAACTTAAACCTCCAGCTGAGGTATGGTTGGCTGGGAGGACTTTTGCTGTTAGTCCGTAGGGCAGTATGGAGCTAGTGTGGGCGTAGAACTCACTGAGCCTGGTTTGCATCTCTAAACCTTGATTCGTGAAAGCGTCCCTCCTTTTTTGGTTGTACTTCAGCTGTTGTGGCATAACTTTGGGAAGGCAGGTGGCCAAAGTGCTACCTCATTTATTTTTTGTCAATAATATAGGCATTGTTTTTAATTGACACATAGCCGTTTCCTTTTTCAGGCAGCTCATGTGTATGTGATCTGTTTTAACAGGCTGGGTAGTTCAGTGGCTTTTCTCCTGCCCAGTTTGGACACACTGGCTGTGTGTCCAGGCTGTCTGGCTTGTCTTCTGATTCAAGTGGCTTTTTAGGGTGCTTGTTTAATGGCTGCTCAGATGCCTTGAGTTAGCAGATTTGAAAAATTGGCTAAATATTTGAGAACAAAATGGCTTGCCAAGAAGAGAAAAGCAGATGTTTACTAAAGAAACTGTAGGAGGTACATTTAATATTATTTTTATTTTTTACTGGCAGATGTTAGTTTGCTTAGAAGCAGTTTGCCAGTAGCTTCGTCCTCTGATTTGGCTTCAAGCCTCCACAAAAGGCAAAGGTTCTGTTGGCTTTGTGGTTAGCCTGTGGCTTGACTTACTGTGGATACACACTAATGTATCCATGTGTGTTTAATTTGAAGGAACTTAGGAGGGGGGAAAAAAGATCCCAAAGGGACAGATCATGCAACCAGTACAACTAAGACCTATTTGAAGTAATGGGGAGTCTGAATTCCACTAAGGCAAGTCAACATGAGCCTAGGTTAGCAAACTCTGCCTGCACACGCAGGTTCAATGCAGCTTCTACAGTGCAATCTTGTTTAGCCAAGTCAGTTCTCTGGTCTAATGCAAATGCATACATGGTCTTACAGAATTGGAGGGCTTTTTCTGGAAGTCCAAAGAGTGTGCTAAATGTTACTTTCCCAAAAACAAGAGCTAGGAATAGTTGCTGATGCTTCCATTCTGGTGTAATCTTGTAAACCACTATTTTGCAAGGTGACAAGAGAAGTGAAGCAGCAGTTTATAATCTGACTATGGGATGGTTGCACAGGGAATAACTGGATTCCTTGTGGTCTCCCCTTAAGTGAAGCTCTTTGCAGTGGGAATGTTCACAGTATTGCATGAAGGATGTCTCTTTTGTTTGTGTGTTTTGCTAGGTGAAAAGAAGTTACTAATTCAAGCAATGACTACTTTGTCAGATACCATAGGAAGACACCCAGCAGCTTCAGGTTGTCTCATTTGCTAGTCGGTATTTACAGGACAGCAATCATTAATTTCATTAACATTATTTTATTTTAGTCCCAGCCCTGTTGAGTTCTGTAGTTTGGTTTGGGGGTGGTGGGTGGTAGCAAGAGTGGTACAGAGCTGGAAAAGTGGGAGAAGGAGTTCTGAATGGGTAAAAAAAAGCTGGAGGACGAACAGAGAGGAAGATTTAAAATAAAGAAATGTTGCAGAAGCTGACATGTCCTAAGGACAATATCAAAAGTAAGATGGCATGTCTAGACTGTATTAAAAAGCAATCATGTGAATACCAGAACTAATTAGGCCTGGTTTTCAATAGACTCTTCTGCCGTCATTGTTCTGGCATTTAGCTTAAGAAGGCAGAGTTTAGTCATTCTTTTGTCTTGTTGTTGATATAAAAGGCTACCTCATTTAAATAGGCTGTTTTGATCAGTTCAGTCACCACAGCTTGCAGCTCCAAGGAGAATATCTAACAGTCCTGAAATTCTTTAGTGCTGCTGGTGCTGTTAGTGCTGCAACCCTAGATCCAGAAGAAGGGTAAATAGCCAAGACCACCTTGAGGAGGTTGAAAGCTCTGGGTGTCTCACTTATGATGGAGCTCTTGATCAGACTAGAAAAATGTCAGAGATGCCATCAAAGAGTAATATTTAATGCTGAGGTCTTGAGTGTCTCCTTAACCCTCTTGAGAAGAAGCCTTAACACTTCTGATGAGGGGCACGTTGTTGTTTTGGAAGTGTCTGTTCCCTGCGAGCTAGCATGAGTATTCCCTGTGCTTTGTAAACAACTCTGCTCCCAAAAGACCATGAGGGAAGCACAGGCACTCCAGGATGACAGTGTGGAGGTAGGAGGAGAGTACCACAGATTAAAGGGAGACGGAGTGGGATGCCTGGAGGCTGTGACCTACCTAAGCATTTGCTGGTTGTATATTATCTTTGGAAATGAACACAGCTACCTGATCTGTTTGCCATGCTTTTTGTTCTGTTTTTGCCTGGGATGTCAGTAGAATAATGAATATGTCATGAGTTTTGACTGCCTGTGAATGGCGTGGCAGGGCTGGGGGCTATAGGGAGGAAGCTTTCCAGTTTTGGGTTTGGCCTTGAAACGCTGTGGTTATAGTTTTTGCATGTGGGTGTCTTATTTGAAAATCTTGACGCCTTGCAAATGAAAGGGCTTCAGAGGAAGGATCTCGTCCTCAGCCTGAATGCTATCATATTTGTGTGGTTTTCATTTTGTTTCTAAAGATGGTGGCTTTATGAGGACTTTTAAAGAAGCCTCTGAAAGTAGTGATGCTTATTAAATATGCTCAGGCAGATATGAACATGCCAGGGCCAATGCTTACCAAGCTAAAGTTTACATGCTTAAATTACATAAATTAGTGACATAGTACTTGAGTGTGCATCTGCAAATACATAGTGTACATCTCATACAATAATACTAAATTTTACCATTTGCTGCATTCCGTGAATTAATATGTGTAAATTGAACTCAATATTTAAGTGAAAATGTATATTTGTGATTTTTTTTTTAAATTCGCTTGGAAAATAAAACACGTTATTACTTTTAAAAATAACTATTTGAATTTCTTTTGATGAAGACCTCAGTTTACTATGTGACACTTTATGAAAGGACTTTGTGGACTCAGTCTAGTACATACAAAAATGTCGTCATAATGACCAGAGTTTTTTGACTGTCAGAATCTGGCTGGAGAGGGGTGGTGATAAATGGGAGAGATTTTAGTATGAATGCTTATGCTCTGCCTACCCTTTGGAGACCTGGTACCTTCTTCATCTTTTGAGGTGCAGCTTGCCTCGTGAGCTTCAGTGTCAGGAAAGCAAACTTGAAAAGAGAAAACAGACTGGCTTTTTCCAACCTTCAAATAAATAAAAATACAACCTCCTGATGAATTAAAATTAAACATATTCCGTCTCATATTCTGTCTGAGCCCGCAGGCAAAGGTACCTTATTTTGCCACTTGTCTAGTCTGGTAGGTACTTTGTTTCAGAATTCATGTGAAACGATTAAGAGTCTAGTATGATTATTTTTGGAGTTCTTAACAGGTACAACTTCTGATTTTCCATGTCAAGCTTTATTGTTGGATTCACAGATTTCAGCCTTCTCATACATCGGGTATTATTAGGGGCAGAAAAATAAACTTCAAGTTTTTCTTAAGTGTTGAATTGGGGAATGGTGTTCCTTAGCACTTTGCCATCAAGTAGCATTGCACTAGAAAGTCTTTTTTTCATATTTTTCCTGCTTTTGCTCTTCCAAAAATAAAAATTCTAGTACTGTGGGGTTTGTTCTGAAAATTAATAATGTGCATTGTTTGCAAGTTACAATACAGAGGAAGCACAATTGTGCATGAGGGAGAGTTGCCAAAACAGTATAATGTGTTACTTCAGGTCTCATGAGGAAAGTGAAATAATATCCTTAAGTTCATCTATTATTACTGCCACATTTATTGCTGACAGTTAAATAACTCCGGAGAGAACTCAGCTAACCAAGGGGAGGTGTGTTTCTGGGTGGGATGTTACCCCATTGTTTGAAAGCTCCATTCATGCTAGGTGAAAAGGGAAAGCGTGCAGGCGTCGTCATCAGATGAGGTGCTGTAACTTAAAGAGCTTTGTGCCCTGATGCTGGCTTTCTCTGCAAGCTCTTGTGTTCTGCCATTCGGGTCTGGCAGAAGCCACAGGCCTTGTGGGTTCTCTGTAATGATGTGACCCTGCCTGGATCTTCAGCAAATCTGCTAACGAGGTGCTTCAGCTGAGGCCACCCTCAGGTCCAGCTTCTCATCCCTCTTCTCTCGTGCACATGCAAAGGGCATCTTCCTCCAGCCACGTGTAGGACGTCTGGGTTCTCTTTATGCTGTCCAAGCCCTTTGGTGTAGTGCAAGTGGGCCCTTGGGTCAGAAGGATAGGGGGAAGGGTGCTGTGAAGTTATCAGTGAGAACTGAATGTTTTCAGCTACACCTGAACAAACTCTAAGCATTTGAGCCCCATTTCACCCTAACAGGAAGGCTGTTCTGTAATGCACTGCCTTGTAGAAGATGCATGTTGATTCATGATGTGTTTGAATGCTGGGGAAGAAAGTATTTGCATTGCAATTTATATAAATATTAAATTAATGTGATCCAGTAAAATACAAATTCTAGAGATCATGTGTTGAACAAGTTGTTCTCCAGCATGGTATCTATCAGTAAAAACCTTCAATAGGGTAACAGAGGTTTGTTGCCCCATAGTAACAGAAAAATTGCTGGAGTGCATACTTAACAAATACTTTACAGGACTGTTCTTTTTCTTTCTTTGTCTAAAATGCTGTAGATTTAAGATGACAGAAAATTGAACTCCTATGGCTTGAAACTGTAGTTGGATGCATAACAGAACCTAATTATTGGGGGGTGCAGGGAGAGTAATAGTCATTTCTGGAAAGTGTGAGTTAAGCATGTGTTATATATGTGTTTAAAATGGAAGTCTGCAGTATTACATGCATGGTTTGTCTACTAGTACATACTATCAAATCCTTTACTTAATGAATATTTAAACTGAGCTTTTTGAAGTTAGCCAAACAGGCATAATTGCATTGTTTTTCTTTGAAAGTTAGTCGGAAACCTACTTCCCTTAGATTTTCTAAAAATCCAGTCTTCATTTAAAAAAGCAAACACCTTCCATTGTACAAAGCCTGGAGTTAGATTAGAAGGATGAGAAGACAGGGGAGAAAGAAGAAAAGGTTACAGGACCTTCCCCTGCTGCGATGCGGCAGATGCTGCAAGCACGGGTAAGCCTTACCCTTTGATTTGTTTCCGCAGGACTGTGGCATACCAGAGGTAGAGTTCTGCCTGGGAACCAGCACAGGAGGACTTTCTGTCTGCATACAGAGTGCAGTTGCCAATTTAGAAGAATTGGATGTTGAGAAAAACCCTTATATACATGTCAAGTCAGGAGTGTGAGTACTGAACCTTGTCAATAGGATTTTGCCAGCAGAGAGCATAACATCATGGGCCGAAAGCCAGTCGGTGATAGGAACAGTATTGTGGGGTTCTGCTAGAAAACAGTTAATATACACTAGATATTCCCAGCTCTGCACTTCAGCGTTGTGCTACCTGGGCTCGTAGCAGTGGGACCCAATCTTTTAAGGCATTTTCCCCTACTTCCTGGCAGAAGTGTTCTATAATTCCGTCTTTTGAGTATCTTTATAAATAGAAGAAGCAGTTCAGCTATAATTAGCTGTTAGTTCATTGGAGAATAGATACTGTCCCTAGTCACCCACCCTGTTATAACACGGTGGCTGAATGCCTGAAAATGAGTATTATATCATCCAAGCATTCCTCAAGCTACAGCTGTATCCTGACTTTCTGCAGAGAGGTGATGCAATGCACTACAGGCCCCACATCAATAGACCATCATTTCCTGTACCAAGAAGGATAGTCTGCTTCCTGGGTAAATGGCCAGCACTTCACAGTTCCTGAAGTCGGGGAATTCTGTGCCACTTCTCATAAGTCATTGCAGAATGACATTAGCTATACTGTTAAGAGTCTGGAGTTTGCCTTTCCGTGTGAGCCAAGCCTTCCTTCCCACAATCTCACAGTATATGAGCGAAACTTGAGGTGGTGAAGGAATTAAAAACTAAGTTTTGTCTTAGTTTTGGTAGAACTTAGTCTAACTTTTAACTGCTTATAGTCTGTGCATGTAATGTTAAGAAAGTAATTTTCCATACGGCTCGATGCCTCTTCTTCTATTCTTCCATATTTGATCTACTAACCCTGTGTCCAACTTCTAGAATTCAGCTTGCTTTCTGATTTAAAACAGTCTGAAGGAATGTCAGCATTTTTAATCTTCATGTCAAAATTATGATAGCCTGCTTTCCAAAGGAGTGTTATGAATTATCCCATTTTAATAATTTCCACTGAAAAAAACAGAGTGAGATTGATGTTAGAAGCCTTTTAATTCCTTAGGTGGGAATCCTAGTAAAATGCGTTGCGAGCATCTCATCCCTCAATACTGGCACTGGTTTTGTATACTCGTAGTGCAACAAACTGGCTTCTTAAAGTAAATTAACAAACTGGTGATTTTCTGCTCTTACATTCATGTTTAGCTGGGAGTGAGAAAAAGTATCGGAGATCATCTTAGTGTGGATGTTGCCAGTGCATTTAAATAGAGCATAATTGTGATGTGCTGGCAGTATCTAAAACACATTGTCTAGCTCTGATGAGTGCAAAAAGAAAAACAATTTTAATAGGATCACTGTATTTGTAATGTATCTGTTGAGAATAATAAGTCCTTTATCATTGCTGTTATAGATGGCTTGCTTATTCAGACTTTAATTACAAGGGAGAGATGAAGGTTTTGGAAGAAAGCGATTCACTATCTGAAATTCCCTCAGCAGACGTGAAATCTCTGCGTCCCTTAAAAATGGTGAGGACTTGCCAGTTCCCTAACAAGTTGTGTGCCTTCCTCTTCCTACAACTGCTTCCCCCAGTGTTTTGATCTAAAGGTAACTTAGGCTCTAACATCCTTTTTGAGGTAATCCTTACACATGTAACACTTCTCTCGCACCACAGTGCATTTGCAGTCTTGTAATGGCATGGCAGTCGCTCATTCCAGGGCTTCCTGGGCTCCTGCATCTGCCCAAGTGAGAGCACGTAGTCAGAGGGAGCACCGAATTCACTAGGACATCTTCCTGGGGAGCTGCAGTTGTCGAGTGGACAACAAATTAGACAAAACTGGAGGATTCGTGATTGTATCATAACCAACACCAATTCATTAACTTAAAAAGCTCTTCAGAAGTTGTTGGTTTTCTTTTTTAATGGTACAGCTACTGTCTGCTCAGGGTGGTGCAGCTAATTTTTCTTCTGATAGAGAGACAGCACATAGGTCTGGATATCAGAGAGATGTGGAAAGGTAGAACACACTATTCTACCATATACACAGCAGCTCTACAGAAAGAGAGTTTAAAAGCCACAAAGGAATAAGACCTATCAGCTGCATTTTTAGTTGCTCACAGGAGGCAGGTGTTTCATTGCCCCACAGAACGTAATTTGCCAACAGTTCCAGAGAAAATGCATTTGTTGTCTATGATCAAAGAGCAAATACATGAATATGTCAGCCTATATTTTCTGTCTCTTCTGGTGTGTATAGTTTCGTAGGGTTGCATCATTTGTCCTTAAGAAACTGGAAATATATACAACACAACTTTAAATGTTACATTTTTAAAATTGATAAATGGAAATGAGTGAAAAACCACATAGTAAATGATTGCTTTGGAGTGCTGATAGGCAACAAAGGAGTATTTTAAAATTGCTTGCACTCCTACAGGGTTTCCCTGCTGATTTTGTTTGTAGGTCAGGTTTATAGTGTCCCTGGCCTTTATGAATTAATAGGGTATTTAAACTGGTTTTTGATTTGGCCGACACTGAAAATGGTGAATATAATCACAAAGTCTGCATGCTCAAATAGTACTGAAAAATATGTGTCAAAGCATAACTTTTAGAGTTTATGTAAACCTTTTCTTACTCTCACCTTTTTTAGGGTGGACTGAAGGTACAGATGCCAATGAATGTCAAGGTAAGCACTGAGGCACTGAGGACAGCGAGACTAAAATATGATCACATGTGAAATACAAAACATTTATTGAGGCTGTTTTCTTTTTGTTGGGTATGTGATGTTTGAGCGTTCAGTGTTTGCTGCTGAAGGAATAGTCACTAATGCTGTCAAATCCACTTCCTTACTGCGCTTCATGAGATGTAAAAGTAGTAGTAGTTTGTTTTTGACTTGTTAGGAGAATATAAATTTGCTGTAGAAGAATTGTAAAAGCTTTGACAACATAAAATCAGTCTTCCTGACTGAGGCATCAGTCACTGCAATGGAAAGGGGTCAGGAGAGATTTTCCCATTTAACACACCAGTTTAAAAAAAAAAAAAAAAAAAAGAGGGGTGGGGAGCAACGGGGGGCAGGAATAGGACCCTTCCTGCCTATACCCGATCCCAATACAAGAGTCATGAGTTGAGACTGCTACCCTTTTGTGATCTGAAGTGCAGAAAGCTAATCCAGACTTACTGCTCCTTTTCCTTCCTTTTTCTAGCTCTACACAAAAATGCTAATGCTTTAGGTACCTTTTAATTATACAAATACATGCAAGACTCGGGAGTTTTTCTAACAAATGTTGCAATAAATATTAATACTATGAATAACTGATCTGTGTGGTTTGGCAGATGAGGAAGCCGGAGGGTGTGTATTAACTGCAGTCACTGAAATAATTCCAGCAAAGTACAGAGAAAGACCTTTTGTCTAGTTTTGAAGAGTTCAGCTCTGTGTGTCTAGCTGGGATGAGGTAGGGTTCACTGCAAGCTAATAAACACTGCCCAGGCACAGTATCGCTGGATAAATCAAGCCATATAGCTGCAGAGTGCAATTATCTATATAGGATTGTGTAAGTATCCTTCTGTGTCAGTGCCTGCAAATAGCCTGACAAGCCTATCTAAATCCAAATAGGGTCTCTTCAGCTTCCAGGGCACTCAAAAATCACAAGAGCTGCAGGATGCAACCCTGAATTTTCTTCATAGTGGTAGCTTGGTGGAGGGGGAAAAAAGGGTGTCTTCCACATACTATAGCAGTACACACCCCCAGATTTGCATTACTGTTCAGGGCACACTCAAGACATTGTTCAACATCATGTTTTCTAGCTAATAATATATGAGAAAACCCACTTCGAAGGATGGTCCAAAGAGTTTTCAGAAAACATCAGTTCTGTCCCAGTTCTGTTTCGCAGTGAAGAGGAGTTTCGGGAAATTGGATCAATACGTGTAATTGGTGGAGTGTAAGTGTATTTCACTTTTGTGTTTATTTACTTTAAAATAGGAAAACATAACTAAATGCCAGGAAATGCCAAGTAGTGATTAGAATCTCACTGGTAGAATATTTTGAGAAGAAAGGAATATGTATTTCTCTTGTCAGCCTGGGATAAAGCAACCTCTCTGTATGGCCTACCTAAGGGAATATAGGAAAGTAAAACTGAGTGTGAGATGTAAAGTCGGGATTTACTATTTTGATTCAATAAACTAGGCCACTTTATTCCTTAACGACAGTATTCACACAGAGCTCCACTTTACATCGCTCTGTATTTCTGATACTCTCAATTTAATGAAATGACCTTAGGTAGGAGTGGTCAGTCTTCAGTTTGTCACTGAAATGCCTCTGAAATCTATAAATTGTTTTATTTTCTTAATTGTTTTCCTTTGCCACCAGTTCCACCTTATCTGGAGTTAAGAATCCCTCCTTATTTTCCTTTGTTGAGGCCTGATTTGTTGAGAGATGGTTCTCTGTTGTCCTGCCCCTCTCTGTCATACACACAGGCATGCACAAAAAGGGCCCTGTAACACAGCCCTTAGGTGGATGGCTCACGAGGTGGGCTCAGCGCCAGCTGTTCTAAAGAGCTGCCAACCCCACACATTGTTCTTTCAGCCTCTCCCAGGACCCAACAGGACAGGACTGTTTGAAAGCACGCAGGATGGTTGCTTCTGCCGACGAGCCTAGCAATAAAATAGTTTTCAGAAACTTCCTCTTTTTCTTAGAGAACTGCAATGTTAATACTTCAGTATAAAGAATCAGTAACATACATCCTTTCTGGCTGTTGTCAGAATCTTACAAGCACTAAATGAAAAATAAACTTCATTGTGAATACTCAAATAATCTGTTCATAAATACATTATGTATTAGCTATCTGGGAAGCCTCAAATTATTAAAAATCATCCTTCTGTCTGTTGTGGTGGCTTTTATTTTTAATGCTGCGGTTACTTAAACAGCTGAGTTAATGTCAACCAAATGGTACTAAAAGTTAAGCTATCCCTGCCAGCCAGATTTCAATGCTGACAGAACTCGTACAGCAGTTCTAATACTTACGAGGAAGTTTTAATGAAAGGAATGCTTGCAAGGAAGGAAGGAGGAGAGGGAAGCACTTTTTCAAATTCAATTCCAGTAGAGCTTTCAAAGTTGATGTGGAAAGTCTTCTTTTAATTGAGCCTTCCCTATTTGTTCAAAATACTTTAAGAAGTTTTGTTCCCTCAGTGCTAAAATATATTCCCTATGCAGTATATTGTATATATTCAGTTCACTTGTCTATTCATAGAAATGTTTGTTGATTAGAGCAGGAAACCATATAAGCAGGTAAAATTTTGTTTGGCTGAAATCCATTCTTTTTCTCACCAGCTCCAGGAAGAGTTGAATCTCATCATTTGTTAACACTGATGAGATCTACTGTTTGGTTTTTCTCATTGACAGTTGGTAGCTTACAGTGTTTTGGCCCCTAGATTCACACTAGACTCCGTAGTAGGGAATATTGGCGTTGGGAACATGGCTGACTGAGAGGAGGTGCACGGAGAATTGTTACACAAACAAAGTGTTGTTGGAGAATCACATGGTGGGATTTTGATCCACAAAGGACACTTCATGGATGCCTGTTGTGATTTCAAACAAGCATTGCTTTGTTTGTTAGCCGAGTCCGAGATACTCAGCTCAGTGTTCGTAGGATGTTCTCCTCCCCTTTTGTTTCTTATGGAAAGTCATGTGTGCAGCTGTTCTGCTTCTACTGATTTCTCCTTTGTTGCGTGGTTGCTGTAGGTGGGTTGCCTATGATAAGGAACGCTACAAAGGCCGTCAGTACTTGCTGGAGGAGGGAGATTATGAAGACAGACACTCATGGGGAGGAACTGACAGTGCCCTCCTGTCTTTCCGGTTCCTTCAGGCCGTAAGTCCTTTTATAAATCTCACACAAATTATGCACAGTTCCGTACATAAAGAGGAAGGTTATTCTTCGTATATGGCACGGCCGTCTTGGTTTTGGTCACTCCGTCTTTTGCCCAAGTTCACTCTCATTCTTTTCCTGCTTGCTGAAATGTAGACTGCAGCGTACACATTGTAAAGCCAGAAACAGGTTCTAAATAACCTTTGTAAGTTCATACAAAGGATGTATCGTGCAGAATTCCTGGTTTCCCTGCCGGATTTTCCAAGTATCTCACTTCTGCCCTTCAAGCTGTTTGCATCTCTAGAACAGAATTTTCTTAAAAGTTTAACATGTGTAAGTGTACAGTGTAGCTCTTTATTAAAATAAAAATAGCTTTTCAACACAGCAGCTGTCGCGAGCCTTAAAACAGCATTACCCTCTGTCTCTGTGATTTTTGTGCCAGAAAATTTTGGCAGCAAAAACAATGATGGTGAAAAAAATCCCTGCTAGTAAAATGTGTTTAGTGGGAGCAAAGATGAAATAATAATAAAAACTAAAGCAGAGTCCAGTATCGGAATCAAAGTTAGACTTTTTAGTGATGGGGAAACATGGGATTGGAACATCTTTATCATTTCCTTTGGTTTGGGTTTTTTTTGTTTGTTTGGGTTTTGAGGACTTTTTATTATAATAGGAACTCTGTGAGCTTTAAATACAGCTGCAAAGAGTGGCTCCTTTTGAGAATTAGATTGTTCACTCTGAGATTACTCAGTTTTGTATGCTCAGATTACTCATCTCCTCATCTGAGGACATGTGATATTCCTGAGCCAGGAATTTTGTGAAGTTTGAGGATAGGCTTTTAGAGCAAACTTGTCTCAACAGTCATTATTTAAAGAAGGGAGGGGAGGGGGAAAGTTAACGTCAACCCAGAAAGGCCATGTTTAAATTTACAATTTGCAGCTTTGATTTTTATGAAAGGCACCTAGAAGAATCTGTATTTATAACCAGAATCTATTACCTAACTTAAAATAAAGATGATAGGCAAATAAACTGAATTGAAGAAAAATGTCCCTGTCTAAATAATTTATTTTCAGGATTCTGAGAAAAATACAAATTTTGTTCTTACTCCTCATTCAGATTGCATAGAATCCTTTTCAATTACTGACTAATCTTAGTTTTTCTTTCTTTTCAAGCTCTATATAGGATCCTTGAGTAGCTTAAATTGACATTTTAAAATCTTCCTCTTGGCAAAGGACATAATTACAAGCTTAGAATTCTGCGCATGCCTGGCAGGGATGACCTTCCACTCATGCATTTCGTTTGACTCAGGCCTGGAACAGTCGGGGTGCTCAGGTCATTAACATCTTAAAAACGTGCAGCATTTGCACTCCTCTATCAACATACCTGATTCAAATTGGTGTATGAATATAAATCAATCTGTAAGTGTTGGTAACAAAAGGGCAGGTAGTACCTTTCCTCAAGTTGTAGGGTGGCTGAAGGCAATAAGCTAGTTGCTAATAAAAGGACTAATGGCACTGGCATTTTGCTGTTTGGCTCTTCTCTGGTGTGCAATCCGTAGGTCAGTGTTCAGGCTTGCCGTCTGCTCCCTTCGTGATTCTGTATGCAATACCTTAGGATCAGGGTTTTAAAAACATTTGAGTACCAAACTCTTGTTTTCAAGGGGACCTGGGCAAAAATCCAAAACTAGTTCTGTGTGCTTAAGGCCCCTCATCGCACAGCGAGTGTACTCTGTCGAGGAGCACGATGAAGTTTGCGATGGTTTCAGACTCTGGGGGGGTGTTCCTGGATTACCAGATCTTTCTTGCTCTTCCCTAGAAACCCTGGTTTAGTCAGATGAATTCAAGAGCCTCTGTTAGAAGATTAAGGATTTTGTGAAATGTAGCCAAGTCACGTTATTGATGTTCAGCTTAGGTAGGTAATGGGGCTGGGCACTGACCCTGCTCTTCACGCATACGGGCCAGTGTGGTCTCATATAGCTGCCGGTCCAGCCAGACCTTTCTTTTTTCACTCGGGCATGACACCACGTGACCTTGAGTGTGCTGGCTTTAAGGCCAGCCCAGACCTGAAAACAGTTTAGCCTGGCTCAAGAAGCTGAAGCTGATGAGCCCTGTGTACCCATGTCAGCTCCAGGCAGAGTCGGATCAAGTGTCTGTGTGCCGTGCTCCCAAAGCAGGAGCGTGGTACAGAAGCACGTAAATGGCTCTGTGGAGAGTCGGGCTGGGTACGGCGGGCCTTGTTAGCCTGCGTCGGAGCCAGCTCTGCCAGTGCGGCTTAGTCTATGCAAAGCTGTTCAGGTGCTTCTGCACCACGACAGGTTCCACCAGAGCTTATTAGCGCTAGGAAAATCCGCCCCGTGTTTCTGTACACATAGCAGTGACTGTAGTCGAGCTGGGCATGAATTTCATTTCCTGACAAATCAGAAAGGTTAGACATTACACACAAAAGAGGGATTGTTGTGAGTCACCCCTCCCCACCCATGTATGCGGTGAAGACCTACATGCATGTAGGGATCCTGCAAGAGCTTTCTGCTTTTGTCTGTCGTATGTATTTCTGCTGTGAACAGTCACAAGCTCTAATGTGGGGAGTTGGGGACCGTTTTGAAAGAAGAGATGGAAAGCTCTTGTAGAATTGCATTTTCCAGCATGTTGCCAGTTCTGTTCTCAGCCTCAATTTTGGATGCATTGGAGTCAAATGCAGGAGAGCAATTTGTATTGTGTGCTGGCTTGAGGGGGCAGCTGCGTTTGCTTCTCTTCTGCCATGTCAGGTGTGAGAATCTGCGAAGCTGGGGTTTGCCCGTGGCTGTTGTGATCGGGGAAAGAGCGAAGTTTAAGGCTCCTTCAGTGGCCACAGACTGTGTTGCCTTTAGAGCTCCCCACTAATGTTTTCATGGGTTTTCAGGAACTCTTACCAAGTCCTTGCTTTAGGACTGTTAAGGGTGGCTGGTTTTCATTTACACTAAAACTGCACTAAAATTATTTTTTCTAAAAAATAGTTGTTCATGATGATTTTAGCAGACCTGGCCATTTAATTTCTAGTGTATACCTGAAGTAGTAGCAACTTTTTAAATAGATGAAAGGAGCTGGTCAGTGTAGTAGGAAAACCAGTTTGACTGCTGGAATGGTTCCATTACTTTTCAGTGTCCTGTAAACAGTGTAGAGAGGTTGAGCCACATCATGCTCATTCTAAACTTGGTTTTCATAATTCATTGTGATTGAATCATGTACAAAGACAGGGTGTCCTCTGAAGAGCCTGTTTGGTCAGATGAATGGCTGCCTGCTTGGCCTGGCCTTAATTTCTAAGTGGTTTTTGATTGTTGTAGGTCATTGTTTTCTCAGTGTAGCCTTTCAGCATACTGCTGTCTGGTTGGTAGCTTCTAAGTGGTACAGCAGCAAGTGTTTTGCATAATATTTCTCGTGATGCTGTCCTCACGTCTGTGAATCTGCATTGGCTCCTGCATTGGCTTGATAGCCTTTTCTCTTGTTTGCAAGACGCACTTATTTTCAACTTATTACCACTTTGCTGAATGTTTCAGGAACATGAAATTGAATTGAATTCGTGTTATTTGTTAGACGTTGAAGGAAGAAAGTGAATGGCTTGTTGTTTTCCATTTCCCCAAGCGGTGACCGAACTGTGTGTTTAAAATCACCAAGTGGTTTAAAAAGTTGGGGATTTGAGACACAAATTCAAATATTCTGAAGCTCTGCAAGTAATCTGGTCAAACACGTATACTAGCTGAAAGCGTAACGCAGTGACACGCGGCTGCCTGAGAGAACGCAACAGTGGCACATGGGATTTATGTTACAGCTGTAGTGATAAGTCACACAAAGGATGTATCCAAAACCAACAAACCCCTTGTGCTGGAAAGGTGATCTTGCCCAGTCTTTTCCTCTCCGTGCTTATTGCCTTATCCCTGGGAAGGTATGAGTAAGGAGAGCTTGATGTGAAAGACTGCAGTCACAGTAATGCTTGGAGTAGTCATTTGTGAAGCTGCCAGAAGGTAGATGCTAAATCCCCAGCCCTCTCTTTCCCATGCAGTCATCTTTGCGCTCTCAGTCATCCTTGTGGAGGAAAGGATGGTGCTCAGGGGTAGCAGGTTCTTCTTCTCTTCAGTGGAAACCACTAAAGGCCGTATCGTATTACCAGGCTTCCAGCGAGGCACTTCATTGCCAGAATATTCCATGCAGAGCCGCACAAGGGAACTAAGCCCCTTCACTGCTTTATAAAGTGCTATCTTTAGGCTACAGCTCCTTTCCAAAACGTTTTACGTTGTGTGCTGAGCTGTGATGACCTGCCTTCTAACTCCTGTGCTGCCTCTTAGGATTTCATAGAGTCATCAGTGGCACTTTTTCAGTCCGATGATGAAGACGGGAAAGCATTAGACATCACCAATGAAGAAATCCCGGATTTGGAGCAGGCTGGATTTGGCCCAGAGACGAGGTCGATTCTTGTCAGAAGTGGAGTGTAAGTCTACTGAAATACATGGATGGAAGCGTTAAGTGGTTTTGTGCACAGTTGGGTTTGGATGCATCTTTTCACAGAATATATTTCACATGGTACAGGTGGTAAACATTTGGGGGAGAACAGTGTTTCCTTCGGTGCGCTTGGTAAAAGGAAGGGAAAAAAAAATGTTAGTTTTCTCTAAATCTCATGCCTACGCCTTGATTCTTGTTACTAGAGAAAGCTTGTGATGTCCCTCCAAAGGTCACACAGATTGTGGTTTCAGGATACAGGATCTTTGGCATTAATACTGAAAGTGGGATTTTAGGTATGTTAAGGATTGGGGTACCTTTTGGGGACAGATGGAGCCTGTGTAGAAAGGATGAGCTGTGCCATATTCATAATAAAGTCAGGTTGCTGGAACTGAAAATTAAAATCATAGAATCACAGAATGATTTGGGCTGGAAGGGACCTTAAAGACCATCTAGTTCCAACCCCCCTGCCATGGGCAGGGACACCTTCCACTAGACCAGGTTGCTCAAAGCCTCATCCAGCCTGGCCTTGAGCACTCCCAGGGATGGGCCATCCACAGCTTCTCTGGGCAACCTGTTCCATTGCCTCCCCACCCTCTCCAGGAAGAAGTTCTTCCTGATATCCAGTCTAAACCTCCCCACTTTCAATTTAAACCCATTACCCCTTGTCCTGTCACTACAGGCCCTTGCAAAAAGTCCCCTCTAAAAAATACTTTTCAGAGAAGTACTTAAACTCAAAGCAGTAGTTTAAACCAACAAGTGTGGAAGAGTACCAGGTTCGAGCCGGTAGAGCCTACGGGGTGGGCTTGGCTAACTTTTGGTGTCCATGTGTGAAGTCCAGGAGGAAAATAAACAGCACCATTGCAATAAATAATGAAGGTGAATTAGACCGCCTGCAATGTCTGTTGACAGAGATGTGTGTGCAGTATTAACTGACGGTGCAAAGACAAAACTCAACAGTGCTAGAAGCTTAAAGAAACAACAGGGGCGATGTGGAATGCTTATCATGAAATGTGAGCTCTGATATAGCGGATATGGCATTTTTGTGTCATTCTCCAGGTGGGTCGCCTATCAGCAGAAATACTTCTGTGGAGAGCAATACGTACTGGAGAAAGGAAAATACAAATGTTTCTTTGACTGGGGAGGATCTAGTAAAACCATCATGTCAATTCGACCTATTAAGTTGGTGAGTTACAAGAAGTTGTTCAGGGAAAAACTCAGAAGAGGAGATCAGAGCATACAATAATGTTGTGTGGGCTGTGATGTTTAATCAGTTTGTCTGTTTACTTGGAAACAAGTTAAGACCCTTGTGGACTACGTAAAATGAACCTGTTCAAGATAGAGACTGGAATGGACATTCCGGATATTTCTGTCTGTTGAGAAAATTGTCAGGGGAACTTCAGAAGAACTTCCCCGTGCCAGATTGCATTCAAGAATAACCTAGCCCAGAATGAGCCATTTGCCTTAAAGCATAGTAATTTATAATGCCTAGTTGATAATGGTTATAAAAATACTTGAGAATTTATCTGACCCATACTGTTGTTGTATAATAGAGCTCTGGGGTTTTTTTCCCCTCTATTTTTATGCTACAATGTTTGTATTTTGTAATTACATAGAGAGAATAAATACAAGAAATACTTGTAATCCATTACTAAATCCAAGGTAGTGCAACTTGCCCAAACAGATAGGTGCCAGAACTGTCAAAACCCTAATGCAGAACACAAAGACAGTGCTCAGTAAGGAGTATGTAATAAATGATAACCACTGCACTGAAAATAGGAAAAGAACAAACATCTAACCTTATTTTGAAGAGCAGGTGTTGAAGGAGATATCCCAGTCTTCTGCTGGTTTTAATTGGTGGGTTTTTTTTTTCTTCCAAGAAAGAGACTGAAAAATAAATACAGAGACATTTACATGGGCTCTAATCCACATTATGTGAACTAATTAATGCTGATGCAGGTTCTTTGCGTGGAAAGGGACTGAACAATCAGGTAGTCGTGAGCCTACAGGCAATTGATGGCAGGGGAGGGGGAAGAGAATTGTGCCAAGAGCATGGAAAGAGGGTTTTTTTTTGCTCT